ATAATAGTAATAATAATAATAATAATAATAATAATAATAATAATAATAATAGATTACATAAGTATAGAGCAGATCCCCACTCAACAGCAAGCTCTATGCGCTTCACAATCTATACTATTATTACCCCAGCAGACCTGAGAGCATTCTGAAACAACCTCAAAGTTCCTAAGAAACATACAGTGCAAGCAGACATTTATAGGCGCTAAAACACTGACATTCTGACTAGATCTTTCGCTGTCTATGGCCGGGTACCCATTCCCACCTGAGTGAAGTGCGGAAGATTCGTGTAAAGTGCCTTTCCCAAGGACTCAACGTCGGGCCTGCGACTCGATCCCCCGAACCCTCAACCTCACGATTACGAGTATGGTAGCCTAACCACTGTTGTTTGCAATAAAAAGAGGCGCGGGTGGCATTAGAAAAGACTATGCGCTGTCCTTTCCCATATGAAAAGTTTACACGCTCGTGATTGCATGATTGGGGTTATTTAGGGATGTGGAACTAATGGAGATGCTTAAACAAAAAAGGGGCTTTATAATAAGTTTATTGGATTATCGTGGACAATTGGGGTAATTTATTTATAAACAGTACGGAATCAAGGTGTTGAAAGGGGTTTAGAAGTGATGGCCACGGCACTTCTGCGTTTGTGAGAATGTTGATAAAGGGGGAAGATGCGAAAGTCTTGTTAGGTCTCAAAGACGTTGGGTTGGTCTATGCTGAAGGGACGTTACTTTTACAAGCACTAAGACTTTCCGAAAGAAATAACCGAGTTGACTCTCTTGGTCCATTTCTCTCTCGGAAGGAGAGACTCTGTGTTCCGTGCCCGTGCCTTTCCCTTGCAACTGTGATCATGAGATGTGAGGCTAAGTAATCTTCGATCCCACGACGAGCTAGTCTTTCGGGAAGGTTTTTCTGCTCTTACACAGGCTATGTGATGTGTACCGAATAATGTTTTGCTCATACTGCGCTGAATGGTAGGCTACATGATTGATAGGTTGTGATGTTATATGTACATGTAATGTGAAAATTAATTTAGCAAATCGTTTGAGGACAACAGGTAGATCTAAGCCTAAGCTCAACAACAGTTCGTAGCCCTTCTTGGTTTGCGTCGTTTTCTCTTCATGATCATACACTTTTAAGGAATGATTTAATTTCAACAAATACAAAACGGCACGTCCTGAAATATAGCGGAAGCATTTCCAACCAATCACTGCTGGGCTGTTGGGGAACATTATATATTTATGTAATCCACAGAATATTAATAGAATTTTCGTGATGCAATCAAACCATACTGCATGACAACTGAAATTGTTAACTAAAATCTTCTCTGAAAGGAAATTGAAACCCCTTTGTTTGTACATGTATTTAAAATCTTCTTACCGGGCACTAATCACTTTGCAATCCCACCCACCCATCGGAAAGAATTTCTATAATATTTATTTATTTGAAATCGTGAAAATGATCTGATTGTTTTATAGCGCATGAATTTCCCTCAGCCTACAAGAAAGATCTGGAGTCAGACATCAAGGGAGATACCAGCGGGGAGTTCAGGGACTTGTTACTTCACCTTGTAGGTGGCAAGAAGAAAGGAGATGATGATGTTGATGAGGACAAGGCAGAAAAGGATGCCAAAGACCTGTATGAGGTATGCTTTGATTTATCAAAGTGACTATTTCTCCAAACACTCGGGAAAATAAAGTTGAACTCTATTTCTCCTAACAGTTTCCATTCTCGAAAATTTTTGGCTATTTGCTAGATTTAGTCGTCATCCTTTCAGAATTTCATTGTGCCATTCTGCAAGGACTGGGAGGAAGCATATTTTTGCATCGAATTCAATTTGTAGAGCTAGAGATTTTTAAATATCTGAATATTCAGATATTTCAGTTGTGGTTGGGAATATATTTCATTTGAAAATACCTTCAAAAGGTACTGCGAATAAACAAGACTGCTCGACCTTAGCAGTTACCTATTTTGCATTTAGTCACCCAGCAAAAACTAAAATCTTTCATGAAAGAAAAAAAATCACTCCACCCCCCCTCCCCCCTCCGTTCACACCTTACACACACAATGACACACACACACACACACACACACACACACACACACACATACGCACACACACAAACACACATACCTACACACCCAAATACACACTTATTCATATACACATATTCATATACACACACTCTCACTCACTCACTCTCTCTCACACATACACACACACGTGCGTGCGCACTCACATACACACAAACACACATACTCACACGCACACTTACATACACATACACACACACACACACATACACACTTATACACCCACATACATACACAAACACATACACACATGTGCCCACACACAAACGCACACACGCACAAACACAAATACGCACATACATACACGTGTGCACACAAACACATACACCCACATACACACACTCGTGCACACACATATAAACATACACACGCACACACATAAAAATGCACACATACACACACGCGCGCATACACACACACATACACACACATACACACATACACACACGCACAAACACACACACATACACATACACTAACACACACACACATACACATACAAACACAAATACACACACGTGCGCACGCACACAAAAATACACACACATACACACACAAACACACACACACACACACACACAAACACACACACACACATAAACACACACACACACACACACACACGCGCGCGCACACACATACACACTATTTCCTCCTCTCCCCAGGGTTCATCCGCAGAACCTACAGCATCCTACTGCTCCAGCTTGTCATCATGTTCGGATGGGTGGCGGTCTGCTCTTTTGTGTGAGTCTGTTCATCGTCATCATCATCATCATCATCATCATCATCATCTCTCTCTCTCTCTCTCTCTCTCTCTCTCT